AGGAATGTTTCCGTTTTGCTAAACTACACCTACAGTATCGTTAGCCGCGGTGGCGAACAGACGCAAGTGAAACTAAAAAATATACACAATGTTAGTCTTTAAGATTATTATTCTGCAGTTTGGTCAATATAATCTAAGGTGGAGAAATACATAATGAACAGAATGTACCTTATAAATATATATATATATATATGTATTTATCTTTACATATATATGCATACATATATATACATATACATGTCATATATATGTATATGTGTATGTGAGAGTTGAGACATCTATGGGGAAAGTACAAAGTACAGATAACTAAATATCTGCTAAAGTGAAAGTTACTTCAGAATGATTTTCTTCATTCATAACTCTTCTCCACTCTATTCTTTACGTTTCTTAAATCAGAGGTGACCAACATAGGGTCCGGGGGCCCTACAGAGTCCAGAGAGGTTGGGAATTTTTTAGCTGATTTGACTTTGTCTTAATTCTTTTGTGCTTAAAAACAAAACAAACATAAATACTCTAGTTTAATCTGAAACTGAAAAAGAAAAAAAAGAAAAAATCTACAGCAGGGAATCACCTGGGGTTGCCTCAGTGACCCCAGGTCCATGCCTGCGGCCCTGCAGGAGAAACTGAATATGTTTGATAAGTCAAATTATTTATACTTGTCCACCAACAGTCACTTCCCTCCTCAACAGCTGACTCATCAGCCTGCAGTCCTGTCTGGACGACGTGTTGGTGGGGGATGTGATAGCACCAGATGTCAGCATGTAATAATAGCCCACATGCCCCATGGCCTCCTGGCCTCACAGGCTGAGGCCTAGCATCCACTCTAATCCACACTGATGTCAATTTTAGCATGAGACCCAACCCCAAGATGTTTTGCGGGCATTTCTGCCTGAGCCTTGTTTTACACTTGAGACATCCACGACATTCTGTCAGAAGGAAAGGTATGAGCCGTATATGAAAGAGCAAACTGTAGGCAGTAGAAGCAGCAGAGTCAGAGTCACGTCTCTGTCAGCGCCTACTGCTGAGAGTTAGACAGGACTTCCTGTGGAGTGTGTATTCAGTAATATGTGTCCAAATGGAAGACAGGTTTAAATCCAAAAAGTTTTTTTTTGTTTTTTTTAAACTTCCGGGCCAACTTCTTCTACGTTGATACTCAAGTCTTATTACTTAAAAAACTACAAGAAGATGTTTTATAACAAAATGTTAATAAAAAACTAATAAAAAAAATCTAAAATATCATGTAAATGAGGTCAGAGACACTAAACTATGAGCAAATATAGGGCGCAAGCTTGTTGGAACTTATTAATCACAGCATCACCTATAAATTGGAGTAATATGCAGTCTTTTTTTAAAAAAAGGGTGGAGTTTCTCACTAGTTTGTACTTCCTGCAAAAATGTTTGTGACAAAGTATTGTCAGGTCATTAAAAAGCAAAAGGAAATTTATATATATTTTAAATAAAGGAGGGAGTCAGTCATATTTCATGACTGAATGTTTACCTGCAGCAGTAAAGTTACAGCAGTTCAGTCATGCAGGAGAATGCAGTTTTATAGGTCTATAAAACCTCTGCTTAGACAAATAAAAAGTTTGTTATGGCTACGGTGCTGGGATTAAGGAGCAAGTGAATGTCTGGACCAAACAACATTGATAATCGTTAGCAAATTAATGGTAATCTAAACTTAATAACATTGTTCTATTAGAATTAGTTAGTGATAAAGATACATAATTGTAGACAAAGCTATAAATGACAAATCTTTGGTTTTTCTGTTCTATTTCCTTGATTTCACATTTAACCGATAAGAAATTGTTTGATTTAAAATGGCTGGTGGGTTTGTTTTGTTTTCCAGGCACGTTTCAGGGTCAGTTCACTGGTGGGATGCGACATGGCTACGGCGTCCGTCAGAGTGTTCCCTACGGCATGGCCGCAGTCGTCCGCTCCCCTCTTCGTACCTCCCTGACCTCCCTACGCAGCGAGCACAGCAACGGCACCGTTTTACAGCAGGACATCCCCATCATCACCACCACCAACGCCTCGGGTGAGGAGACGCCCGTCTCCACCCCGACCCAGCTGGGACCCTCTCGAGGAGGCTTCGCCCTCACCCTGCAGGTGGATCCAGATGCAGTCAAACCCAAGAAGAAGGGTCTGTTTCAGAGGAGTTCTCTGTTGGGAAAGCTGAAGAAGTCCGACTCCAGCACCTCGCTGTCCAGCCAGAAGAGCAAAATCAGCTTCCTGAGGACGGAGTCAGCTCTGAGCTCCAACGCCAGTGACACCAACTCCACCATCAGCATAGACGAGAGCCTGGCCGGGGCCGAGGACTTCCCCCCGGTGGAGGCAGACATCGATGCCACCACCACAGAGGTCTACATGGGCGAATGGAAGAACGACAAGCGATCGGGGTACGGAATAAGTGAACGGTCAAGCGGTCTGAAGTACGAGGGCGAGTGGCTGAACAACCAGAGACACGGGTATGGATGCACCACCTTCGCAGAGGGAGGAAAGGAAGAGGGCAAATACATGAACAACATGCTGGTGAAGGCCATGAAGAAGAGAGTGATTCAGCTGAAGCGAACCAAGATCAAGCAGAAGGTGGAGCGAGCCGTGGAGGGAGCTCAGAGGGCGGCGGCCATCGCCAAGCAGAAGGCAGAGATCGCAGCCTCCAGGTAAGAAGGAAATATGACGACTGTTGAATATATTTACTAGTCTATATCTAGACGTATGGCGTCTATGAACAGTGCCACTTAGTGGTATATTAGTGTAATTCCATAACTTTCTTACAAAGTTCTACAACATATATATATATATATATATATATATAGAATATATATATTTGGAGTTGCAGAACTCAAATATACCTTAATATTTTGCATATTATATAAGTTATTCAAATCATACACAGGTTATATATACATATATATTCACATATATGTGATACACATATATTCATGTTTCATTTAAACATTTGATATATATACACATTTGCAATATATATGCATCTGCAAACTTTTTAAAATTTCAAGCGGATCCGTTCTACTCTGCCGATCAAAATCACAGAAACGAGGCTAATACATAACGCCAATATTGTCATAGTGTTTGAAGCCCAGAATTTTGAACCACTTGTTCTAGTCCTAAAATTGTTCTTGACTAACATCGTGCTGAGCTGCTGCTCAGTGAATAATGCTTCATGTTTCTGCACTGGAACATCAGTTCTTCACATTCCGTAGTGTTCTGTTTACTGCCTTACAACTAAATCTGTAACATAACAGGTGGCTTTAACCAATCACACGGCAGCACAGAGGGACGGCAGGTGTTTTTATTGGCTCTTCTGCTGCATTCAGTTCTCGTCACTTTTGTTGCTGCAGCATTGGAACAATGGGATGCAAACATCGCCACGGGGTGATGTGTAAAACCTATCAATATCAGCACGGAGTTTGGTTTACAGAAATGAAAAAAAAAAAAAAACAAGTGCCTGTGGTCACTGATTAGAGAACTTAGAAAAATAGAATAGAATAGAAAATAGAGACAGAGGGTCTTATCACTGTAGATTCAAGGCCTCCCACAGTGGTTTTGTGACCCCTAGTGGTACTGTATGGGTGTTGAAATCTTCTTTTGTTTGTTTTAATGTTTTATATTTTACATCTTATAGGTTTTTTTTTCTTTTCGAAGAAAGGGACACATAATGAGAGCCAACACGGAGCAGCAATCATAAACTCAACTCTGTCTTTGACCGTACAAGGTGTCTTTGTCCGCAGTAAACGCCATCACCTGAAATAAGCTCATTGTTTACAGCAGTGGGGGCTGACACACTGCAGAGCCGCAGCTCGGCAGATAGAAATCTAAATATTGTGTTCAGAGTATAAGCACTATATGAGAGTTATGGGTCCGAGTGCATCTGCCCGTGGCTGGGCCTCACCTACAGCAACGAATAATTAACGCTAATTACAATTAATTGGTTTAATGTAATTGTCAAAAAGGCCGATGTTAGAGAAAAAAAAAGATTTACGTCAGTGTGTCGTCTGACTGGAAGCATCTGCAACAGAGCTTAAAGCTTGGCTCATTCGTTCTATCCTCAGTACAGTCAGTGGTAGAATATCACTGCACTGTGATATTTCTACTCAGTCAACTGACTGTAGACAAGCTTTAAAAACAAAAAGGGTAAATAGAATACGGTTACCGTAGTTGTAATTAAAGCTAAGTAAGAACCTGTTGTTCTCGCTGTCAGTTAGACCGTAAAACTTAAAGCCTTTATTACACAAGCAGCGTGGACATGACACATCTGTTCCTGGCAGTGGTTTCCTCAGCCTGTGATCCTTTGGCAAATGAGCGCAGGGTTAAAAATACATGTCCAACCTGCCCACTGTTTGAGATGCCACACCAGAGGCCTCATCTCAAGTACGGCTCACTAAACGCTCACTGGCATTCAGACGTGGACATTGTTCTGTTGCGTGGGGCAGCAGACGGGTGTCTGGAGGAAAAGGAGGAGGAGGAGGAGGAGGAGGAGGAGGAGGAGGAGGAGAAGGACCTGTGTGACAGGACGGGGTGTAAATGACGCACACACACAGGGGCCCTGTGGTTACAGAGGAGCCCTGACTAAATATGGACAGGCGCGCTCCTGCTGTATCACAATCACCAGGGAATGCGACAGCTGATTATCCCCCCCGGCCCCCCCCCCCTGCTTTCAAACTTCCATCTTTCCTGCCCAGTCACAAACACACACCCAGTGTCTTTTCTTCCCCTGAATGACAGAGGCTGGCTTTGGTTATAGCATGTGTAGCAAATCAAGACGTGTCCGAGCAGCACGTCAACAACAACAGCAGCTCCAACTGCTGAGAACAACAACTTGTTGGCTGACTTTCTTCCCTCTCTCTCCCTCTCTCTCCCTCTCTCTCCCTCGGTGAGCTCTAGCTCTTCTTGACAGCAGCACTTCACAGATCACAGATCCCGCGTCAGCAGCGGTGTCGAATGGTTCCAAGGATATAAATATGACACGGTTCATAAGCAAGTGCTCGGGTATAAAGGGGTTAGTGTATATATGTACCACACCTAGCTTTAGTTGTGCGACTTGGATTACATACTGTACTGCTGAGATGAGCATTTTGTGCTGCGAGCCATCTGTGGGTCACAACATTTGTAAACAAAGTTCATTATGACTTCAGTGTGGGACTATGTGTCTCTTTAAATGAATGGGAAATAATGACACACAGAGAGGGAAATGTTATCAAAGAGGAACTCTACAGACCCTGGTGCTCACTCTGTTATACAATATCATTTTATTATTTTATAACAAGGACTTTATTATGTGGTCACACTCCTACTCTACTGCCACCATCAGGCTCCTGAGCAGTACTTCAGTAATGGTCCTGAGTCTCAGTGTAATCCATGATGTAAATCACGAGGAGAAGATCAAATTAGTTCTCTGCGTTATCCCATCCACAACATGGGAACACAGAAACATGTCATAAACATGTGCGATCTTAACAATATAAATGTGTAATATTGACCACTTGATCTGACTTATACACAAACTGAAGAATGCATCTTTTTTAAAAATGCAGTTGAATTTTTTCCACATTTTTTCCAATCATCCCCAGGCCAGAGTAAACCTTCTGACGGGCTGTTTCTGGCCTAGAGCCGTATGTTTAACACAGTTGATCTAGAATATTCTCTAATCTGATATCGTCAGGTGTTAAAGACTGAGTTGAGTCTCCTTCTGCAGCTAATGTCTCAGGAGACCACAGCACACCAGGCATCGCCTTAAAGGCCCTTAAAGCACATGGGGTATTCAGGTCACAGTGTCCAATATCATGTCGGTCTCAGAGGAACACAGAACGACCTGCACTAATCTGCCTTCATTTGTGATCTACTCCAAAGTCAAAGTTTGTGAAATTCTATTTGTGTACACACATATTACGTCTTATAGGATCAACAAAAAAGGGGGAAAAAAGTTTAATTTATTTTAAATTAATATTTAAAATTAATAATTTAGTTATTTAAATCAAAGGGCTAAAATAACAGCAGTTTGATTTACTATCTTACTGTATGAGCACAAAAAAATTTGCCGCAAAAGCAAAACTTCTGAAATTCAGCAAATGTAGCTCAGGCTGTACCAAAGTATTTATGAAGTTAAAATGCCCACAAATAGCTAAAAATGTGTCAAGATGTGACTCATGGAAACCATAAATGTTGTGTGACTGGAAAATAATTTCCATCCATCCGATTCATAGCCCCAGGTCACATGAAACAACATTTCACACTGGAACATAGAAGCCCCTGCAAATAACTAGAATATAGTATATAAAAAAACAGCTAACATTTAGCTCATTGATGTTGACCAATTTAGCAAGAAAAGCTGCCATTTAAGTAAAAACATACCATATCAGGTAAGGGAAATAAAACAACTGCAGCTAAAAGCTAGCCTAAATAGCTAAATAAATGAATAGGAAAGAGCCATTTCTATACATATTTAACGACACTTTGAGTAGCCTCCATGTGATGCGTTAGTTTAAGGAAATAGTGCAGAAATGAATGTAAGGTAGAACCACGAGCCCATGCCAAGTGTTAGCAATGTGCAGCCCTGAACGTGTGCTGAAGGTTAAAACACTCATTTACTGACCAGTGCTGACATCGTGATGGCTCCGACACCGACACAGTCTTCATCCTGTAGTCGGTTTGAAGAGATCTTTTTCTGCTGCCTGCCCAAAAACCTCACACTGTAAAAATAGGTGGAAAGATAGATTTAGGTTTGCAGCATGGAATGTATGAGAAAAAGTCAAAAAGTTTCAAGACGTATTTCAAACTCAAACGTTCATCATCGTATTTATGCCAAGCTTTTTCAGCCATATATCATATATTATATATATGTATTCCCATAAGATGGTTTGTTTTTTTCAGAACGGTTTCCTGCCTAATAGCAGCAGCTGTCGTTACGACTAAATCATTTTTTTCAGTATAATTTTAAACGTGTGACTCTGAGAGGACAGGGTGTGGACATTTTCGGAGGAGGCGGTGCAGAGAGTGCGTGGACAGGTGGAACTGGTCAGTATCAAAAAGGGAACCCCAGGAGCCTGTAATTGTTCCAGTGGGAAGCAGCGTTCACACTGAGTCTTCGAGTGGACCACGGGGTTATTTTCAGCTCAGTGTAAAGTTGCAGTATGTCAAGTATCCACGGAGTAATCACAATCAGTAATTCTCAGAGCCGACAGTCTGATACTCCTTCTCGGCCTTTAAAGAGTCACGAAGCTAAATCTCGATCATTTGGATTTCCAGTGCGTTCTTTGCAACGTTGAAGGATGAGACAGGTTGGACATTGCATCATCGTTGGTGTCTCTGTAGGCGATCAAAAGAAAACTGACTCCTTGACTATTTGAAATGCTCCGTAATATCACAGGGGTTTATTTCATGCGACCACGGTTTGCCAGTAACTTGGCAACAAAAGCTCGTTGTCTGAGGTCGATAAAAACATCATTTATTTTTGTTCTTCCCAACAGCAGGCGAGCACACTGCCTCTCTTGATAGCTAATAATACTAGCGATCCATGTGATTCGCAGATCGGCCCCTTTGGCCTCCGTGTTAACAGAGTGACTGACATAAACAACCTTTATGAGGAGCTGTCCATTTAATGCTCGTGATAACGGAGCAGAAATAAAATTAATGAAATCATGAAGCAGTTTGATGTAATGACGTTGATCTGATAAAAGTTAGATAATGGAGAATTCATATATATTAAATCCCTTAATGAATGTTGATATATGTACTATATGACTTTATTCTGTAAAGTTGATGATAAATGTGTGTAGTTTGTGAAATGTAAGAAAACATTTTATATCTGCTAATTTATTCACCACACATTCAAATGTTCTTAAACGGACCTGTGGACACTGATATTTGATAAACTCAAGACTATAAAAATTTGACACAGATTACACTGACTGTGTATTATTATTATTATTATGTTTTTTATGGTGAACATGGACAAAAATATATTTGCTGTGGGAAAAAAATAAAAAATAAATAACATGATGGAATAAATAACCAACAAATTTGAGCAAAATTATAATATAATAATGGATTAATAAATGGATGGATGAATGGATGGATGGGTACTTTTTCCCATTCTGCTTAAATGCTAAGCTAAGGGTATCTTGACTGTGGTCAACAATTTCCCTCATGTCGCTGAAATGTAAACACTCTGTACATTGAATCTGATCCTGTTTATTTTAGTTTATTTGAGTGTAAATGTTGGTGACTCATTTCTAACTCTGTACATCTTCACCCCACAGGACGACTCACTCCAAGGCCAAGTCTGATGCAGCTGACCAGGCAGCTCAGGCTTCCAACAGTGAATCCAGTATTGCCAGGCTGGTTGCCAAAGAGCTCTCCCCTTCCTTCTACCAGCCAGGTCAGTGGGTGACAGAATTTAAAGGAAAAATTCCCTCTTTTCCCACCCTTCTCTTTCTTTTTCAAAATTAAAGCAAATGTGGAGTAGTGGAATCTAAATGTTCCTGCTATCCCTGGAATGTTTGGGGGGGGGTTTTATCAACAAATGTAAAGATGGGTAAAGATTCAAATCTTGCTGGCATTCAAAGGTGGGCTCCCTTTACAGGATAAACAAGAGCTGCAGTGCTAATGCTGTTGAGGATGGTTTCCTTCATTTGCTACATTCATACCTGCCTGAAACACACAGCACTTCATAGTTATTGGTGTCGTAGTAGGTACTGTATGTGTGTGGTTTTCCTTTGAGGAAAACAGTGAGACGTTGTGAGTCTTTCTATTTGGACGTGTGCATAGCTCTGGATCATTCATCTGAGGCCGGCTGCAAGATTAGTCGCATTTGTATGTCTAAAAAAGGAACATCTTATTGGGCTGAAGGGATCGTATCAGTTTCATGCGGAGGCTGGCAGCGCACATTCACACCGCAGCACAGTAGCCATTTTGGAGCCTCTTCAGTATTCTCTGTCCTGTTTGTATCTTAGCATAGAGCTTATAGCAGACAGACACAGGAAGACATTAGACTTTCTGAGCCAGTGCCCACATTGTGTCCAGTGCTAGTCTGGCTGAGTTGTGCGATGAGTCCCTAACCAAGGAGATCACAATACGAGCTTGCATCACGAGTCGGTGTGTGGGCACAACAACAACAACAACAACAACAACAACAACAACAACAAGACCCCAATTTCAGGAACAAACACAAAGGCTTGAGAATATTTCATCTCATCTTCCAAAAGGACGTTTCACTTTTGCATTGAATGTATATTGTATAATATATTGCTGTAGAAAGTCAACACACCATGTAATAAGGCCAACTCAGTATTTCTCAAATAGTCGGGGCGAGACCCCCTGGGGGGGCGTAGTGAGGTGCCATAATTAAGAATGATGAATTATGAAGAAAATGGCATTCAATTATAAAAGCTTATATACCTGCAGTATGTGAGGACAAATTCTTTGGATAAATATTCATTTTAGCGAACCTCTTCACTTCACAGGTCCTGAGTATCTGAAGAAGAGGGCGTTACTGGAGATCGTGGACGGCAGTGAGAACCCTGACACATCCCTGCATGAGCCCCTGTTGGCTGAAGAGGAACCTCTGCCTACCCCACCTGAAAGCCCACTCATGAATGAACTGGACAGCCTCATGCCAGGCTCATCACCAGGTCGCACCCCCTCCCCCAGCCCAGGCATCATCTGCAAAGAGGACCCCAAACTTCTCAGTCCAGGGAGCTGTAACGAGGACAAACCCATCAAAGGTGTCAGTAAAGCTAACAGCAAGCCCAACAGTCGGCCTACTACACCTTCAGCCTCTGCTACTGCTCCCACTCTAGCTGTACCTGAAGGAGGAGGGGCTCCCAGCAGTCGTGGGCCCACCCGCACCCCCAGCCGTCACAGCAACAAGAATGAGCAGGGCTCTGATCTGGAGATCAAACCCCTACAGAAGTTTGAATCCCAATCCAAAGCTCCAGATGTTTCTTCTGCTCCCACCGCCTCTGTACGGAATAGCCTCATCTCTACAGATGAAGAAGAAGCATCACTGCCCTCCTTCAAATCACCCAAGGCTGCCACTGTGGAGCCCAAAAGCACAGAGCTGAAAACCGAAAGAGCTTCATCACTTCAGGAGCGGGTGCCTTTGGAGAACAAAGTAACCAGGGATGTGAGCAGGTCATCCAGCAAAGCAGAAGCAAAGCCACTTCCAAAGCGACAGCCTAGTCCAGCTCCATCCCCAAAACCTACACCCGTCATTGAACCTAAAACTGTACCCAAGCAGGTAGAAGCCAAACCCATTGTTGCCAAACCTGCTCTGAAGTTAGAACCCAAACCTGAAGCACGGCTCAAGGCCTTGGTGTCCACACAAGGCCATGAGATGACTTCAGATTCTTTGGACCAAGAGGTAAAAAAGACATCATTTTTAAAATATCTTAATTCTTTCATGACCAAGAGCACATAAGTAGAACATATTTTTGCCCAGCTAGGATTGCGAAAAACATAGCTAACAACTAATTATTTTAATGGTGCCTCCTGTGGCAGCCTGTGGTAGTTGCAGGATGCAGATCTTAGAGCCAAACTGAAGTCATTTAAATATAAAGACATATTGACTGACAGAACATCATCACACAACAGTGCTGACAATAATGAAAAGTGATTACACAAATACCACTTGGTTTGTTTGAACTGTTTTGTGTGTTTCCTGTCAAGGGTCCGAACACCATCATGATATGCATGGTCATCCTGCTCAACATCGGCCTGGCCATTCTCTTTGTACACATTTTGTCATGAGACCTTTACCCTCACCTCAGGTAATCTACACCCACTGCAGCATGTCCAAGAAGAAATTGTAATAATATTTTTAAGAATATCCATAAAGAACAGTGTCTTTTCCCTGCAGGTCAACTTTATTGAAGATGGAAGGTACGTATGCCCCCTCCTCAGAATGGACCTGGAATTTGACAGAGACCACTGAGGAGCGAGGCCAGAAGGAAGGGATGAAGGGAAGAGAAGGGAAGGGCATCACGCAGACGACCACTTTTCTTCTGAAGGTTTTTGTTCATGTTATTGTATGAGGACAATTAACGTCTTTTCTGAGGTCAGAGGAACTTAAGGACATTGGAATTGACAGGGATGATTCAGTTCATGCGAAGTGTATGTTTGAATGCCGTAGTGTGGACAGCGGTGTGGCAGGTGGAGCGTTGTCTTGGTGCTTAACAGGATGAGCAGGCTAGCCAGGAGTTGTTTATTTAAATAAAGAAGCTTTCACTAAATAACTTAGAATGTCCGTCTACGGAGAGGCCGGCGCACGTCGGCTGCTGGCTCTCGGTAGACCATTTAGTTTTGTCACAGCATATGTGTGGGTTTGTGTCGGAGGCTGAAGAAGAAATGAACAAATATACAGACTATATTCTTTTCACTGTGCCTTCTACTGCAGCAGACAGGTGGAGGACTAGGGAGTAATAATAATATCTGTTGGTGTTGCTGTTTTCATCATCCAGCGTCTAGTATGTGTGAGTGTCAACTGACAGGAACTGTTTTTAAATATTCTGTAACATTGTCGTGTCACCTTTTCTCCCTTGACTGTCTTAAGAAAAATACTCCAAAGCTTCATCCTGAGAATTCTGCGTTGTGTTGTCCACTGGGACATGTTTTTTTTTTTGTTTCACCACATCACCTTTTTGTTTGGGTGTGACAGCCAATCAGTCAAAGAAAAGGAAAGGAAGAGGAAGAGACACTTTTGTTGTGTATGTCGTGCACTACTGTTCAGCATCCAGACGGTTTGAGATGAGTGTTCTGTGATAAAGTTAGCATGCAGGACGTGAAAGCAAACGCTTTACGGGTTACTACGTGCGCCAAAACACTCCTGTAATGTTCATGTTTTTTAGGTATGTGTCAGTGTAGAAATAAACACCATCATATTCAGGTTTTGAATCACAGCCGAACAATAGTTTGTTAACTTTTGTACGCATGATGGCACTTTGTGAGTATGAATCTGTGATTTTGTACCGAGTGCAAATCTTTTCAGCATCTAAAATATTGTGTCGCAAGAGTTTATTGTCGAGAGTCAAATTTATTTCCCACAGGAGTCAGAAATTTAGAAAGTATATTTAACTCTGTGTCTTATATTGAGAAGAGCACCGTCCTGATGTGCTGCTGTTAAAATGCTTTTAGAAGGAACTGGCTTTTAGCTGATTTTTTTCTTTTTTTTTTTGCCTTTGAGTTTTCAAAAGGACACACAGACCATTGGTTGTAGATTTTCGTGTAATTAAAGAGAAACAAATTCTACAGAACGTCCAGAAGAGCCTTCTACGGAATCTCTCTTGGTTTCACGAGAACAACAGAATTGTTTTTAAATCAGCTGATGAGATAACTGGTGCAATAAAACTGATGCTTAGACAGAAGAGACTTTTACACTTTTCCAGTTATATTAACATTTTTAAACAAAACATTTGTGTTTTAATCTAACCAAAACCAAAGTTCACATTAAAGAAAATTTTAAAAAATGAAACCATGGTATGTCGTTTTTTTAAAAATCACAAAGGTCTTTTGTATTGCTCTTACTGTTAATTAAAATTTTTTTTGATTCATTAACTCTAAATTCCTGTGTAGTAAAAGCAGTAGGAAGTATTTTAGGCATACATCTGCTCCGTCCTCCTGGGACACAGTGTCTCTCTGCGATTCCTTAAACTATTTTAATCCACTCATATTGTTATAATTAAAAATAATAAGAAGTACAAACTCAAGTCAGTAAATCTGACTGTCGACAGTAAAACTTTGTCATTTTAAAAAGCGCCACAAGTACTTATATGGTTGACACGACTGCCCCCACGTGGCTAGACAAATGCAGAGACAATTCTTTCAATCTTTCTATCATTACGTTTTTTTATCACGTCAAGAGGATTGTTGGGTCAATCTATATAAATACTAAGAAGAGACATAAACCTGTACTAAAATTAACGTTTGCCTAAAATTCATTATAAAAAAAGGTTTAGACGAAAAGGCTCAGAATTACCTCAAGTTATTCCTGGAAGGCAATTGGTTGCAGGCACACCAGCAGCAAATGAACCTGAAAGGGAACAGCATTGATTAGAGTTTGTACTGACTGGGCACGTCAAAGTGAAACGACCAGTGTTTTGAACCATTTTCTCACTTGTTACAAACTCAACTTATGTCACAGCCAATGTGTAGAAACACCAACACAAACTCCCTGAAACAGTGGATCACATGTCAACCAATGACAGTTTTTTGTTTTTTTTTAAACATATTTTAAAAGTAGTCATCTGATCTTATTCTGGTTTAAATCTACAGAAACTTAATTTTGTAACTACAGGGTTCTAATTCAGTAAGCATAAAACTACTACATCTTGTGGAGGAAATGGCTCTCACTTGGAGGAAGGACATGTGCACCCATCATGTTATATTACATGGTTTGTCCTTTAGGTATAACACACATTAACCTGATCAGACAAGAAAAACAATGCTGTCAATTAATTTTTATTTTTTTTAATACAGCAACCAAAAGTATGACCATTAAGTACAATGCACTCAATCTGTACAATTAGTGCCAACATTGAAAGCTCTTGTGAAACAGGTGCAAAGACAACACTAATATTCCTCTCCTTCTTCATCCACCTCCTCCGCATTATCAGTTCCCACCTCCTCATAATCCTTCTCCAGAGCTGCCATGTCTTCTCTGGCCTCAGAGAACTCTCCCTCTTCCATACCTTCACCCACGTACCAGTGAACAAACGCACGCTTGGCGTACATCAGGTCAAACTTGTGGTCAAGCCGAGCCCAGGCCTCTGCAATAGCAGTGGTGTTGCTCAGCATGCACACAGCCCTCTGGACCTTGGCCAGGTCTCCACCAGGAACCACAGTGGGAGGCTGGTAGTTGATGCCCACCTTGAAACCAGTGGGGCACCAGTCCACAAACTGGATGGTGCGCTTGGTCTTGATGGTGGCGATGGCAGCGTTGACATCTTTGGGCACCACATCACCACGGAACAGCAGACAGCAGGCCATGTACTTGCCGTGACGAGGGTCACATTTCACCATCTGATTGGCTGGCTCAAAGCAGGCATTTGTGATCTCAGAGACTGTCAGCTGCTCGTGGTAGGCCTTCTCTGCAGAGATGACAGGGGCGTAGGTGGCCAGAGGGAAGTGGATACGAGGGTATGGCACCAAGTTGGTCTGGAACTCTGTCAGATCAACATTGAGAGCACCATCGAAACGGAGGGAAGCTGTGATGGAGGACACGATCTGAC